TGACCTCAAGAAAGCGATTCACACCAGACATCCCAAGAATATTGCTGAACTGAAACAGCTCTGTAAAGAGGAATGGTCAAGAATTACTCCTGACCGTTGTGCATGTCTGATCTGCAACTACAGGAAACGTTTGGTTGAAGTTATTGCTGCCTGTTAAGACACTCACAGCTTAAATGGGTGAAACCGCCGTTTAGTTAATCTTCCCCCTTTCAGAGACACAGGCTCTATTGCAGTAGACCGCCAAACTCCCGAACGGAGTATAAGGGAATGCGATAAATCCACGAACAAAGAATCAGCCGAACTCCTTCCACGGCTAAAACAGGCAAAATAATACTTCCAAGTAGCAATCCCCCCCAAACACGAGACCAAGCTCCGTCTTGAGGGAAAAACAGGAATCTGGTTTAATGAGGGCTACCTGCCCGGTATTTATGCAGGTCTCCCACCTGGTGGACACTCCACTAGGGGACCTGATGGGAGACTGGGACATATATCGTACAGTAGCCAATCACAGTGGCTCAGATTTAAACACTCCCCTTTACACAAGTAAATCCCTCCTCTCTATCCTGGAGATAATTGGGAAGAAATCCAATTATCTCCAAGGATAGAGGCAAACCGCCATTTTACATGATACATTAAAAATGCATTAAAAATACATAACTATAAAAATACCAAATACATTTGATTCGTGTAACGTATCCCCAGACAGCCTGGATCTGAGCGCACATTACTACCGAATAGCGCTCAGACCCAATGCACATACTTCAATCGCCATGGGGTCAAAGTCTTTCACACTGTCCTTTCGGTATACGATTGACTCCATGGGATGGCTATCTGGGTTAAGTCCATTCGTATGATCCAAAGTCCAAACGGACCGGCGTTCGTATGCCCGATGATAAGAAGGGCGGTCGGTAGTTTCAGCGGTGTTCGATAGGAAAAGTGTCCGTTTAGAGTTCCATAAGTTCTTCGTCGAACACCGCTGTTCATTCGCGTTGTTAAAATGGCCGCCGCCTCAACATACGAACGACGACCACCCTGCATACGGTTAGAATGAACAGGTGTCTGTGGTTAACCACAACGTTCTAATTGGGGGCAAGAGGTTAACCAGCAGCACACTTCTCTTCTGGGTGGCCGTCCGTTCGGTAGTTTTGTTCGGTATAACTTGCAATAACCGAACAGGGACGTACAGGTAGGTAATTCCATGAACATAAATGAAACAGACGAACCAGCAATTAGTCTTTACACAGATGGATCTGCCACACTGCCAAAGGAGGTTCAACCAGTTATTAAATCCAAGGGTTCACATACTTTTTCCACCTGCACTGTGAATGTTTATATGGTGTGTTCAATAAAAACATGGCAACATTTCATTCTTTGTGTGTTATTAGTTTAAGCAGACTGTGATTGTCTAATGGTGTGACTTAGATGATGATCAGATCACATTTTATGACCAATTTGTGCAGAATTCCATATCATTCCAAAGGGTTCACATACTTTTTCTTGCAACTGTATATTATTATAGCTAATTTACCATTTAAAAAAAATAATGTAAGATGTCAATGACAATCTAAAAGTCACAGAGGAAAGCAAAATAGAGGGTTTCCTACCCAGTGAGTTGCAGTGTGTTGAAAACAATATTTTTATCCTAATGCAGACATTTGGCCATAAATTTGAGAAATTGATAATCAACTCACCACAAGTCCATGTTTAATGAGCAGTTTATTATCTAGTTTCATACTGGGTTTCATGCTGTTTAATGCGGTGCTTCCCAAACCAGTCCTTATGGTCCACCAACAGGCCAGGTTTTATCAGTATCTCCATCGGAATAAAAAAAATAATCTACATAAATACTGGATTGTTTATGGGCCATAAGGACTGGTTTTGGAAGCACTGCTTTAATGGGCTTTTACATATATAAAATCTGTATTTCTCTATAATAGAATACCATCTAATAAAACATAATATATTGGATTATATTTTAAACATATGACCCATGTACTGCTAGAGGCTTGGCAATACATCATTCAATCTTAAATGCCTAGAATCCCTTGTTCTTCACCCCAGCACAGGCACACAGTTTGAATTAAGTCTAAAGGGAGTTATATTGTCATCCAGTGCCTTTATGTCCTGGGAATAGATAGCGTAAAAACAGTACTAGTAACAGAGTTCAAAATAAAGCACTGCATGAGATGTTTAAACATATGCCCCAGCTACTTAAAATTCAAGGTTAAAATCATTAGATCTCTCTTTAAGGGGATTTCTTTTTCTTCTTTCTAGCCTTTCTTTTCCAAAGTCAGTTACAGCTTCCTTAGATTTCCAATTTATCACAAGAAATAAATCTTTTGCTTGTCTTTAAATTGGAGAAATAGCTAATGCACAAACTATTTAACCTGGCCAAGTTCCATAACCCATTACCCAGCATGATAAACACTGCTTTTCGTTTTTCTGAAGTTGATAAAATATTTTATTTATTTAGGTATTATACAAATTATACAATATGGGCAGGTAAAGTACAGCACTCCAGATATTATGGATTGCATCTCCCCGGAGGCATTGCCAGTATTATTGCTGTGAGAGCATTATGGGAGATGTAGTCCACAAAGTGTTGTAGGTTGCCAACCTCTTTAATAAGCATAATTGAGGAAAAGAGAAAATCTTATTATATCTTTCCTTAAAAACATATAGATGATTAACTCTGTGCAGATGGCACCTAACATTGGTTTACAAGTGGGAGTTTCTTGTTTTTGAAAAATTACATTTTATCCTTGGGTGGTATGTAACATTTCAATATGTGTAACAGAAAAAAATGTAATCATGAACACCGTGTCCTACACTTTACCAGATAATTAGGTTAATTATTCATTCTAAATAAGGTGCAATCAGGGAATGTGACAACTAATTATTCATCTGATTTTCCAGCTATAACAATTTTACATTTATATTCAGGCGCATTCTCCTATGTCCATCCCACATCATCCAAATTAATAATTACATACTATGCTGCATTTTAGTAGTAGTAGTATATGTATTGAAAAGTTATATAAAGCAATTTCCAGCATGATACTAAAATCTAAAACCAGAACTGATGAAAACTATGTGCACATGTTGGTCTAATTCAAAGTGCAGAATTATATAGACATGCACAACAGATATTTTTTTTTCAAAACATTAGTCATCTAATTTTTTGACTATTTTGACCTACAATTTGAAATTTACGTTGAATGCCTTACAATTCAGACTCCTGTGAATAACCTTGTGATGATGCACAATTGGCTAGCAGCCTGTTGTTCAATTGTCATATAACATACTAACTCTAACCAGTGTAGATTCATCATGCTTTCAGACGTGTCTCCATTATAGTGTAGAAGATAGTTCCACTATAGTAAACCATTTATTGAGAGCAATTTCCTGGAACTGATTAATTTGATGTCCTTTTCCTAATTAAAGGGAACCTACTCAACATAACACAGGGATGCATTAATAGGAATAAAGTTAATAACCACTGTTCTTGTAATAGGTCCATGAAATTTAATCAATGATATATGTGTAGTGTTGGTGAAGCACTTAATTATTATTATTATTATTATTTTTTTAAGTCTAATTGTGAATGAACGAAGTGCTTATCAAAAACAGACGTATAATCCAAGTAGTCTGATGACAAATTATCTGTACAGCCAAGAGTGTTTATAGTACAAACAATTGTGATTGTGTCACTTTAAATAAATATAAATATTGTGTTGCACACGTCAATACCTTAGAAAATATAAATATAAATAAAATAGCGGCAATATCACACTCAAAGTAAGACTTTGTCACATGATGTTAAATACAATGATTTTCTGTGGAGAAGCTTGAATGCGAGCTACACTTGCTGCACATTAGGTCCCTAATGCTCCTCTATGCGGAACAATGGTTTGGACCATCAAGGATTAGGCCATGCCTCCTCATTGATGTCAGAGGAGGCAGGCTTTATTGTATTCATCTTTATTGGCTAAACACCTGTATTTAACTAGGGACAAGGGCAATATAGTGTTGTAATACAGGTTTGTATCCTAATGTTATAGTTTTCCTTTATGACAGCTCTGTCACATCTTATGGTCTTTTTTTATAGTTAAAAAAAATTAACATCCCTGCTTTGAGTATTGTAGTCAGAGGTTGAACCTAAAGGTAGATATACTTTCTTGAAGTTCTTCCTTGTGAATACTGCCAAATTCTTTCTTCAACTCCTGGTGCTTCATCCACCATAATCGGCATCAATGTGCAAGAGTACAGTGCAGAATTCTATGCAGGATCCTGCGGGCAACTGGATCCTCTATAGACCAACTCTCACAATGCACAACAAGAATCACAAGAATCGCCCGGACTTGACAAACTAATTGACAAACAGTGGGAATTGACAAACAGTGACGATGAAAGCTCCGCCATTTGTCAACTTTTGGATTCATCATAAAATAAAGTAGTCAACAATAAGAGTTTGTCATAAAGATTTTATCGTTATGAAAAATGTAAACATTGACAGAGATGCTTTAATTCAGATTGAGCTATACGTTTTAGGAGTTCTGAATGCACCAGCTGCTCTAAAGCTACAATGATGCAAGCCGAGGAATGGCTTGTTTTTCGGTATGAGAGTCACAGTTCACAGCACCTTTTGTATGGTTGAGAAAGTTATATTCTTAAAAGAGCGCACTTCCTTCCTTTTAAAGAACATTTTTAAATAATATACATTTGTATTAGTTTTTTTCAGCTTTGCAGCTTTGTTGGTATGGAAATTGTACATCCTTGCAAAATGTTTTATTTATGGAACATTTATTGAGCTATTAGGTTGCAGTTCATCAGCTAAAAGCCAACCAGGGAGAGGGATGCAGAAGAGTGTATTTATAAAGCTTATTCCTGAGTCTTTCACACAGATTTACCACAAGTATTACATTCACTTTCCGCCAATCCAGTAGAATATTTCTGAGCAGAATGGAATCCTTTAAAGTAATGATCTAATGATCTACACTAGTTGTAATCCGTTATTATTCTATTAAATTTGCAACATACAAATGTAATAGGACATTTTTTTATTTTTTTTGTCCCCTGTTAGTAGTGTATCTTCTGACTGTAAATGGGTTAGAACTCCAGCTAGCATGTAAAGGAGCTTTAACTTTTAGGTTTACATGTTTTCAATTTTATTTTGTTGCGCTGGTAGTCTATGTATTGGCTGAAAGAAAGGAGATATCTGATGAGAGTGGTGAAGAATGTATAGATGATTTATTTATTTTTTCATTTTAGAGAGTGCTAACTTTTTCCAGAGATCTGTAGACTATAACATAGTTATGGACAAATGCATTTTTTTAATGAAAATTGCATAAAGTTTAACATAATAAGCATGAATCTACATAACTGGTACAGTATAATATAGAACCTTCCCCTTTAAAGATAATAATATTGCATGTGTTGGAGATGGTAGAGCTAGAAGGTAAACACATCAGAGATTTTTTTTTTTTAAATCTATATAGGAGTTTATAAGGAGATAGAGTTAAGATTATTTGAACAATGGAGTTTTCAGGAAAAGTTTAAACTTGTAGAATGTGGGGGAGAGTCTGACAGAGTGATGTAAGGAATTCGAGAGAAAATATGCAGCATGGTAGAAGTGATTGAAATAAATAGAGTGGAGTGTAATTTCAGGTACAATGAAGAGAGAGGCAGAGTAATTGGAAAGAATGGACACTGTTAGTTAAATCACAAAATGCAAAGAACAATACTTTAAATGTTATTCTGACACTGATCAGAAAGCCAATGAACAGACTGAGTGATGAAGCAAGCAATGGATAATAAGTGAGGCAAGTGAGTTGAGCAGAGGTGGTCACGACAATCTTGAGGGGGCAAAGTAGTAAAAGAGATATGAACTCATAGTTATTACTAGAGGATGGATCAAAATTTTGGTTAACATCCCAATGAATACCTGTATTAACAGTAGGCTTGTTTTTGTCTTGTGAGGGCTAGCAATATCTGGCCAAGAGCTCAGTCAGAAGCCCTCTTGTAAAGGCTGCCTCACTTAGAAGGGAGTGTAGACTAAATTAAGTGTAGACTTAACGGGGGTTGCGTTTGGTAGGGATCACTAATAAAAATAGCAACTACAGGGGACGTCAAAGCAAACTGCTCTAAATGACAATAGTGCTATATATATATATATATATATCTATATATATATATAGATATATATATATATATATATATATATATATATATATATATGGAAAAGTTTTTTTTTTTTCTGTCAAACAAAGCATCGCTTTCAAGTTCCAGTTTTCTTAAATGCTTGTCTAAATCACATGCCAATTAACAATCTACAGTTCCCTGATTTTATCAAGCAAAACATTGCAATTTATCTGTCTGTTCCAGCTTGTAAAATGAATTGGCTTCTTAAATTGTGTAACAGATTCCTGTTCCCTGCAGTTTCTTATTCTGCTGTTGTACCCCAGGAGCAATCTCATTTGTACTCAACAGCCGCGCTGTGACAAAAGTTCCACAGTAGCTGCCTTCTCTACTATGCTACCCAATCAACTTTATATAGGGATTCTTGTCTTTCTTCCAGGTGGATTTCACAGTAACTCTTTGTAAACGTGAAGTATTCTTTTTCTTGGATTTTCCATATAGATGTATATCAGCAAAAGCTCTTTTAACCCCTTAAGGACAAAACTTCTGGAATAAAATGGAATCATGACAGACATGTCATGTGTCCTTAAGGGGTTAAGGGAATCTCGATGATGTTATAATTGATTTCACAATCATGTTATAATTGATTAACGATACATTATTTACACGAGAATCCAAACAAAGGCATCATAGACTTAACTGTATATTTTATTTAAAACAAAGTAATTTAATGTTTACTACTCCAGGGATATATTAAGATTTCATAATTAATGAAAACATAAAAGGTATCATCTCTTTCTCAACAAAAACTATAGTGTTTACTTTCTAACATAAAAATTACTTTAAAAAAATATTTGTAATTACACTTAAGTTGCAGACATTAGAACTCTCTAATGTAAGGTGCTTCTAGAATTCTTCTGGTACCTTGATACCCATGATTCATGTAATCTCCTCCCTCCTATTGGTTGTTTAATTTGGGCAAAATTCCTCAAATACAATGAGTTTCAAAATAGACAAGTTAAAAGTAAGAATGAAAATGACCTACATTTATTCACATTAGATATTTAAATAAAGGAAGATGTATACATAACACCGCATATTCACAATATTATATGTTGTGTTGATTAATGGACAGGATGCGGTCATCAAGTCCTCTTTTAATATTACTGCACATTCTTCTCCCTGAAGCATACCACTAGCCCTGAAGGTGGAAATGTTATTGAAATGTTATTTTATCTCTGGCTTCCACAGTCTCTAAACAATGTGTTGAAACTTTCTGATGTTATTTTCATTTTGCATAGGGTTTCTATGGCAATGCTCAGCACACACCACTGGCAGCAATCTAAACTTATCCCCGGGACCCTCATTTTTGTGCAAAATAGAAAAAAAAAATCAAAACCGTAATTCATTCCTTTCATTGACAATTTGGACAAAGAAACAACAAAGCAGTACATGATCTTTGTTCTTCTATTGTCGGCAAAATGAGAGAAGTAGGAAAATGAAGTTGGGAGGGAATAAATGTAAGAAATTTATCAGGATGCTACTGTAGATGTGCAAATAATTGTTTCAAAATTATAATTGTCATGAGCCTAAAGTAAGTAATTGAGTGAAAAAAATTGAGTGGAAGTAATTGAGTGAAAAGAAACCTGCACATTATGTAAAATGATTAGTGAGCTATAATAAACAATGATGTTGCAGTGGTGGTGAAAGAGATCTGCTGCTTTTGCACAGACTGGTAATTATGAATATATATATCCTCTATTCCACCCTTTATATGCAAATAATTTAATTATGAAGGGTGCCGACACTGTGTAATACAAAATAAAGGACATAACACAAGAACTCATCATTTTTTTTTTTTTTAAGAAACCTGAGACTTTAAAGATGACTCATACCTTATATAACATTGCAGATCTCAGTATTCACAAGGTTTGATCCTCTCTGGCAAGGTCTGTGTATTACAATTCAGTGTGTGCAGAAGCCGATTACTCCAATTAAGGAAGAATATATCCGGAGATGGTCTAGATTTGTAGGAGAAAAAAAAATCAGATGTGCAGAGTGTTTATTGAAACTAATTTAGAATACATTTACAAAATTCATGTGGGAGTGAAGAACAGGATATATTGAGCTACAAAAACTGCATGTATGGATGTGTACTTATTTATAATTATTATTTGCATATGGAGTTAGTCTCAAGAACCCCAACAATTTTATTTTACTCATTCTTGTCTTCTTCAAGTGACTTCAAGTGACTCAAGATACCTCCCCTCCCTATGAAATGCTCCCTCAAACATTTCCTTTTTTTACATTACTTGCCATCTCCCTCACTTGCCAGTTCACTTGCCCATCCTTTTCTCATTTCAAGTGTCTACTGTTACTTACTCTGAGATGTGTTTCATGTCTGGATCATGTCTGATGATAACCTAGTTGTTGAGTATGGACAACAGAGTCATTTATAACATGAAGCAATACGATACTTGGTGACTTGGGAGGAGATAGTTAGCTTTAGTAGTTGGTGTAGCAAGCACTAATATATATTATTACATCCCAGAAAACAGTACAGCATTATAAAGGGGTATTTGTGTAAAAAGACATTAAAACCCTCATTGTCATAAGTGGTTAACATTGCTGGTGCTTGGTTTGTGAACTATCTGATTCTTTATTGAATCCATGGGTGCAAATTTTGTCTAGAATATTGATCTATTTCATAAATCATGGATATTGTTAGGAGTGGACTTTAGAGGCTAGAGCTCCAGATGTGAAACCTTCAGGTACTTATTTTTCTGTGGCACTTTAAATTGTCCTCTTTGCTCTGTTATAGTGTTGCCTACCTGCTGGCCATAGCTGTAGTTCCCCAACACTATACACTGTTACATTTTCACAAATAGTTCCAGCTGGTGCTATGAGAAGAGTGGAATGGGCCAAGTTGGCACCAAGGCATGTGGTAGCATGATGCGATTATCAATAGATGGTGAGCACGTGTGTGTTTGTATAGGGAAGAGACTGTGCATGTATGTATGTATGTATGCATGTATGCATGCATTAAGGAGAGGACAACTGTATCTATGTATGTGCTTAAATATGTAACCAAGAGCAAGTATGTGCATAAAAGGGAGTATGAAACAGAGGTGAGAATACACTGAGTTATTGGGTATAGAATAGATGTGAGATTATTGAAAAGCAGAAAAGAGAATAAATGATTAGGAGAGAAAGTCAAGAAGAAATTAGGATAATGATAGAGGGGGAGTGGTAACAGAGAGTAGCATAACTATTAAAGTGTTACTCCAAGCACTCAGAATTTTTTAGTATTTTAAAGTGGTCATGGTGCAAGGACCCTGTTGGTATTTTATGAAACACTCCACATTTTTGCTATTTCATGTACCTCTACCATTCTATAACATGAGTTCTGGGCTGGCTAACATTGCATGTACAGGGGTTTGGTTGTTAGCCGAGAGTTCTCTGCACAGTTTACAAATAGTTTATTATAACTCATGGGATTTCAGTTCGACATTAGTTGTGAATTCACATTTTGGACACCACTTGGAAAAAGATAGAACCATGGACAGCTCCTAGAGCAGTTACTGTGCTCTGTATAATGGAGGAAGCTGAGGCTGTATTATTGGTAAGTAACTTATCAGATGCAAACATTTCCCTGAATACTCTACATACATGAACAGCATGAGATATTCAGGCCTTGGCCATGGCAGTCTTTATACAATGCTTGCTAATATTGCAAGGTGTACTTTTATATAAAAAAGTTTTGTTTAGATGTGTCATGTGAAATATATTCTGCACTTACAGCTGCCCTTGAATCACAACACACAGCACTTTTCTCCTGTTTCCTAGGGGAATGGGTTATTTTTATGCCATTAACATTTATTCACTAATGAAAATACATGTATATGTATGACTGTGACAGCAGCCCTCTAGTTTAGCATCTCATTTACATGTTCTAAGGGTGAATCTCTAAGTCTCTCCAATAGCCTGAAGCTCCTTACTGAAATGGCCTGGTATTGACACTTCAGCATGCATAATACAGTGAAATATGATAAATACCAATCTGGGCTATGTATT